CAGAAAAAACATGTTTACAGCCTGGTTCAAAAAAACGATTTTTGTCTATATAGCTAATTTTGCCCTTCATGACAACTGTGAGGGGGTGAATTTTTTTTAACTCATCCGTTTAAATTATATTAAGCCTTAAAGTTCTGCATAATTAAGGGCGTGGCCACTTGAGTGACAGGTGGATTGCCGCTGCTGTCACCACCGTCGATCTAGGTGGGCGTGGTTTCAGCAACCTGCTCCCGCCTCTTTGCCCATTTTCGATTATCTGGAAGTGACGCGCTGCCAAGATGGCGACGGCCTGCTCCGCCCACTTTGATCTTCAAAAACGCTCTTCGGAAATCTACGGGTGATGTCACGGACACTACGTCCATGTTTTTATACAGTCTATGGTTTTAACGCTGAAAGTTTTAGGAGAGCAAGGTTAGATGGAAGTGAAACGTAGTATTTGATGACTATTTTTCAAAAGAAACCTTTTTCTCAAATCTGGCTGTTTTGAATTGAAAACATGGCATCATTTACGTGATTCATGTAATTCCTAACTGAATATGACAAGACCAGAAACATTTTGTTGTTTCAACATATTAGGCATACAAATAAGAGTAAATGTATGCATATTTTAAAATATTATTTGCAAATAGTTCAGAACGATTACTTCCCTATTTGAATTAGACCTAACATTTCCTTCACCATTCTATTCCTTTAAAAATGCCCCATACAAAAAGCCCAGAATTGTCACACTGTAAATCTGTTCGGCATGCCGCGATAGTTACAATAAATCCAAGATGTATGTACATGACAAGATACACATTACAATATACAGTGCATTCAAGACTAATTGGTTTATTAAACCGGAGGCTGTTGTGGAGAAGAAAAGCGGTCACCAGTTGATGAATAATCAAGATGGCTCACATATATATATATATTACTACTATTCAAAAGCTTGATTTTAGCAAGGACACATTAAATTGATAAAAAATGAAAGTAAAGACGTTTATATTGATACAAAAAGATTTTATATTTCAAATTAATGCTTTTTATTCATCAAAGAATGACGTTTCCACAAAAATATATAAGAATAACATAAATAAAAAAACAAGTGTTCAATTAATATTACATGTTATTAATAGTTCTGAAGGATCACGTGTCAATGAAGAGTGGAGTAATGGCTGTTGAAAATTCAGCTTTGCCATCAGATGAATAAATTACATTTAAAAATATTAAATTATTTATATTTAAATTGTAATATTGCACAATATTACTGTTTTTACTCTATTTGAATGAAAAAAAAAATGCTGCATTGGTGTGCATGAGACTTCTTTGGAAAATACTTTTCAAAATCCTACTGACCCCAAACTTTTGAACACTAGTGTATCTACAGTACAAATATACTTTCAGCCTGTTGTTTTCATCTTGATTTGGTCTTGCCAAAATTCCACCAGTGGTGGCAATGGCTGCTTGTTTGATTGTCTTGTTTCCCTTCTTTCCTTTATTGTTGTTGCATTTGAACTCTGAAGAGAAGAGAGAACCGTTTACTGTTTACTGGCATCGCAGTTGTTCATTCACAGTCCAAATCATCATAGCTTCCTGCATTGGAAAAATAGAAACTCACCTAACCGTTAAGCCCTGCATTTCCTCTAATGCTCTGGATATTGCAGCACAAATTCAAATGCAGTACAGTCAGTGATAGGTGAATGAGCTTTTAAATTGAAAAATCAAAAGGCATGAACACCAGGGAGGATGTTGAGCGCGGACACTGGCCTTCAAACCCAGCATGATTATTGAAAGCTCTGTGTCCACTGGCGTGTGAATAATAATGCCACTATGCTGATGAGCTCCATGCCAACTTCTATTTCATACACCAGCAAACAAGATCTAGGCCGAAAAAGCAAAGATTTAGATTACAGATTCGACTTACCCTCTAATCATTTTGAGCGATAGGTTAAAAAAAGGCATTTCTTTACCTGCATGTGACAGCCAAGAACACATCAGAGTATCAGACCATTTATGTCCGTCAAAAAATCTGACACGATTTACTTTGTGCCACCACATGCAGCTCAAACAAAACATAGCCTACTCAAACACTTAGCATTCTGCGTCAGAGCACAAACGCATTCCTCTGAAAAGCGGCTTGTCACATAGCACACTCAGTCCCTTTAAAAGAGCACTTGAGGTTCTCTCTGTCAGCACTGATTCCACATGCTGTCATGCCATCAGTGCTGTTGTGGAGAAGAAAAGCGGTCACCAGTTGATGAATAATCAAGATGGCTCACATCCTGATGACAAATGAGTCTGACTGACAGAATAAACAAGCTGAAGGGCATATCATAGAGGGAGGACGTCACCACATCATAAGCTCCATTTCACACTGACTATCTTATATAACTAGGCATTCGTCCAGGTGTTTACATTGGAAATATTTTATGAATACACCGCCTGGAGCCGCAGACCTCTGCTGGACCTCAATTTCTCTCCGCCGATAGATTCAGATGCCGCTACCAAGACTTTTTGGGTGTTTTTAGGTGAGGGCCACAGGGATTTGTATGCAGAGCGAGTAAGTGGACTAGTTGACGTGAAACGCATCCAGAGGGTGTGCTCTTGAACCGTCATGGCCTTCTAACATTTTTAAAGAGAACTTGGGCCGCTGCCCTCTAACTGCAGACCATATTTCCAAACCAACGAGCCTTCTGCCCTCTCACTGATGCTCTTTGCCTTTGAGACAGACTTGCTCCTGGAATAGACCGCTTAGAAGTGTTCAGAGGCAGATGTTGAGTTCATTAGTGTCCGTACCTTGGCACATACCATCCTGCCACTCAAGCATTATAGCAGACCTGCCTTATAAAATAGAGACACTTGGGGATCACTTATCAAGAGCTGCTCTGTGTGCACTGAAGCTAAACGCTCTTTCTGACTTTGTTCTCTTCTTTTGGCAGCACAGTCCAAGTACCACCATGAGAGGTGAGGGGTGCTGGACACGACTCTGAGAGACTTCATACGGCTGGGAGAGCGTGGCGCATTCAAAATACAGGTCCCCACAAGAGCTTTCTAGTCTCAGCTAGTGCTATAAATCAATAGCCGTGCACTCTGAGTTCTTCATCAAGACATTTCTCCTCGGCTACAAACGGAATGGCTTTCTTGAGCACTTGCTGACCAGAAGCCGCACTCCAGAGGATTCTATTTTTGTGGACGTCTGAAGTCTATTTCGCACTGCGGCTCTGAAAACACACCGGATGACTAAAACGATATATTTATATATATGTGCATAGCTGATAAAGCTGATAAGTCTTTCAACCACCTGTCAATGTTCTTTTTTTACGCTTACGCTGACACTTCCTTCAAAGCTTTTGGCACTTCAGAGAATATTCCTATCAGCTTTGGACTGTCTAAATCGCAGCTATTTTTATTCCACTACATATTTAGATAAACGTCTCCCACTACAGAATTCTGTTCAAAACATTTGTCTGAATGAGTGAGAGCAGAAGGGAGGTTCGCGCTTAAAATCTTCACTATTTCACAACCTGTCTACAGTCTGTTGCTAATCATGGTTTTCCATAATCAGAAGTGACTTCCATCTTTTTTCATGCAAAATGAAGCACATTAGCATATTTATGGGCTGAGATATATCCAAACGTGTACAACGTGCTACATGGATCTTGCATTCAGGCATCAAGCGAAGGAAAAAATAGCTTCTGACATGTGAAGAAAATGGAATATTCAAGAGCTCTGTGCATTTAAACACATAGACTAAAATCACAGTGTCAACTTGGGAGGAGATGGAGAAGCGTATGAGTTAGTTTGCCTGTTAAGGTCAATGCTCGTATCTGTGTGAAATCAACCAAAAAACTATTTAAATTGTTGTTACTGCTATCATATAAATGACATTCATAAGAATAAAATTGTTGGCCATATCAGCCGGAAAGCATTAGTTGATGTCAGATCCAGATCTCGGAAAATGGAGAATCTGGATGAGCTAGAACATCCATTGTTGGGTGACAGCAGCCCCAAAAACTCAAGTGGAACAGTCACCAGTGGTAGTGGACTGTTCAAAAGCATGTTGATGAGAAATGAGGAGGACAAAAGACTGCCCCCTCTGGACTGGAGGAATTATTGCAGTTCTACAGACATTCAACAACAGCAGCTACTAGATCCATGTTCATTGCCTAGCACTCTAGAGACTCTTTATCCTCCCACTACCATTTGGGCCGCTGCTGACTCCCTGGGCATCCACAGTAAGGAGTATCTGGAAACCACTTTTGTGGACATTGGCCCTGGTTCACCATTGGAAAGGAAGTTCCTGGCAGAGACGAGAGATGTCCATAGTGTATCCTACAGCATAGAAGATGGGGATGATCTTTTGCCAGACTTTGAGGTAAGATTTTTCCTCCAGAATACAATACATGAGTGTTTCTTCAAGTACAGACAATTTTGACCCTGTGTTCTTTGACCCTGTGTTAAAACACATATAATTAAATACTGAAATGGTTTATGCTCATTTTACTCTGTTTATCAGTTTTAATGAAATAAACCACATTTTTAAGAAATATTGAGACATGGGTAAAACAATACAATGTATAATTTATACATATAAGGAATTACCATAGCTTAAAAAAATCTATCTATCTATCTATCTATCTATCTATCTACAGTATATAGATAGATAGATGATAGATTCTGAGCAGAGGCAGTGCTAACAAAGAGGAGAGACGACTGTGAGGTCGGCAAGACCAGAGCGAGTGACTGCAGTGTTTTATGAGGACCTGCTCTACTATGACACAGCATTAATAAAATATTATTCTATTTAAATACCAGAACGCGCTTAAAAGTGATGTGGGACATGGTAACATGATTGCAAGGCTACTCTTTTAAATATTTATAGCCTTTATATCATTTTCAGATGGCTGTGAGGTGTACGTATAATTTAAAATGCCCCATGAGATCTCAAACTTTCATTTGTGACCGTAAAGTAGATTTGACAGGAGCCTGAGCACTGTTAAAGATACTGTGGCTTATCAAGTTCCAAAAAGTGCTGGGTAGTACTGATTACATGTAATCTGGATTACATAATCGGATTCTAGAAATTAAGTACTTGTAATTACATTATATTTTAAAATACTCATAATCAGATATTCATATTCAGAATACTCATATCAGATAGTTACTTTTTAACGATTGGATGATTACATTCACAAAATAGTGGTAAATTGTTCATAATTTATTGATTCGCCATAAACTTTTTTCTATTTTTAAAATTTGTTATAAACACTTCAGAAATGCGTACATGACAAATTAATTAGCATAATACCAAAGTCCCTTTAAGGCAAGTCATTTCACTCGGTGGCCATCTTTGAAACGCCTCTCGGGCATGCAAGTGCAGCTCCTATTTCTTTGAATGGGGAAACATCAAATTCAACAAAACAGTTTGCCAAGTTTACGATTAAATTTCATATTTGAAATCACCAATGAAATCTGACAACAAATGTCTCATAAATGTTGTTTCTTTTGCTCAAATAGCGTTAAAAAAGAATATTTTTTCAGGCTAGACCAGCCAGTGCGCATGCGCAGTCCTAAGCGCACGTCTCCAGAATGGGCTGACTTTTCCGATTAGTGATTGGCTCTTTTACTCAGAAGGCGGGGCTTCCTTTGATAGAGCGGCCATATTGAGCACTGCATTTTTCCCCATTCAAAACTATACGAGAGACACATCTTGGGTATTCTATAGTCTTTGATAATACACATAATACTAGTTTTAGTTTTGTGAATTGGTTTCGTACTCTGCTTCAAAATGTACACCAAATACACTTTTACTTTTTTTGATAATTTTTGAGCCCGTTTATGTGTTTCGGAACTAAAACGGACATATCCTGTGACCTTCATTAAAGGGTTAGTTCACCCAAAAATGAAAATTAGCCTGTGTTTTACTAAACGTAATAAACACTTTTTTCTCACTTCCGCTGACTGTCATACGTGGAAGCCGTTCCAGCGGAGGACATAAGATGTTGGCGTTGCGTGATAAGTGACGAACGCGGAGACAAAACTAAATAAAACGCCGTTCACGAATTAGAAGTACAAAACGAGGATTTGTAAAGAAAAATGTCGGAGGATTTCGATATAAACCAAGAGGAGACTGGTTTTCCTTTGCTAAAGTAAGGAAACTTTGTTTCCTTTGCTCCTGCATTTCTCAGAGGCTCGCGCACGACGCATACGTCCTACGTCATCCGCCTGAACTGCTTCCACGTACGACAGTCAGCGGAAGTGAGAAAAAAAGTGTTTATTACCCTTTAATATAACTCCGATTGGATTCGTCTGAAAGAAGAAAGTCACATACACCTAGGATGCTTTGAGAGTGAGTAAAACACAGGCTAATTTTCATTTTTGGGTGAACTATCCCTTTAATTATTAATTCTGGAAGACCTGACAAAAAGTATTTCAAACCTAGTTGTTAGTGTTTTCATGTTTATGAATGCTTGTTCATGTAATGTAATGTTTAATTGATCCTCTTTGTATTTTATATCAAAACAGTGCAATATTTTCTATTCATATCTACGTAATAAACATAGCAGATTATATAAACTATATAAAAATTTTTCGTAGTTTAATTAGGAATCAGTAACAATTACAATTACAAGTAATCTAGTCTAGTAAACTACTCATAATTTAAAATGGTTAAATAAGTAATTTAAAAAAAAACTACAGGTCACTAGGAGCTAACAAAATTCAATCTAAGTGTGCACTATTCAGGCACAAAACTGGCCATAAAATGAAACTGGGGTTAAAATGAATCAGTGAATCATTTATTTGACCAGTGATTCGATTATTTACTAAAAGGCATCAGACTTAATGCTACATATGGAATTGAGGCCAGAGCATGTTTGACTATTCCCTCTGCTCATCCGCCTGTATGGATGCAATGCAATAAAATGTGATGAAAAATGCAGCAATATAGCATTTTGTCATGCCACACTGCTGTGTTGAAAAAAGTAGCTCGTAGTTAAGGTAGGCTACTGTAGTTGTGCTTTTTCCTACTGAAAAATGAACCTGACTGGGTTATTTATGAAAAAGAGAATGAAAAATATCATATCAGAGTCCAGTGGAAAGCTTAGACTCGTCAGTGACCTAAACAACAATGCAATGGCTAACCGTTCCCTTTCCCATATACTTTTTACTCCATGAATCTTTTTTTAGAGAAGAAGTCAACGAAGTACAAAGTACATGACACACATCTGGAGGACGTGAACACTATGGTTGTAGAGAGAGTGAAATGAGCAGAGTTGTCAGACACAGGTCTAGAAAAAGAGACAGATTGAAAACACAGCTCTTTTTTTTAAACATGAGTCAGAATTTGCCTGTAGGCAGCACAACTAGTGCACATTTGGCATAACCTCTTTCAGTCACATTATCTTACAGGAACCAGAAAAACCTGCAACATATACTTTTATACAGCACAGCAATAGTAAATGCAAGTCATTGCCTTTGTTGGATAAAACCTAATTACATTTGAAGTTCACATGTTACAAAAGCTATTTATATAACCTACAATTTTAGACTAGTCATACCTCTGAAACTCTATTTCACAGGATCCTGTGAGGAACGGAGCACAACATACAATAAATAATAAATGAATAAAGGTTTTATCCCATGACAAATTTAATTTCTGACCAGTAAATCATTTCCATTTACATTATGTAACCTCTCTGGTGCTGATGACTATGAAATTTACTGCAGGACTCCTCCAGTGATGACTTCAGTGATACAGACAGTGAAAGCAACTTTCCCATCATGATCCCTCAAGATTACCTGGGCCTGGCTTTCTTCTCCATGCTCTGTTGTTTCTGGCCTCTGGGAATTGCTGCATTCTATCTTTCCCAAAAGGTAAGGGAGAAAATTTATTTTTCATTCTCTTGGGCTCTCTCTCTCTTTTATTTAAAGTTTCTTATAATCAATCACTACAGGGTGACACTTTCATCTAAAGGGGAAAGCACAGAGGGGAGTTTTTTTATGTTAGAAATTAAACTCCGACAGAAGTTTACATTTTTCTGGCCTCTGGGAATTGCTGCATTCTATCTTTCCCAAAAGGTAAGGGAGAAAATTTATTTTTCATTCTCTTGGGCTCTCTCTCTCTTTTATTTAAAGTTTCTTATAATCAATCACTACAGGGTGACACTTTCATCTAAAGGGGAAAGCACAGAGGGGAGTTTTTTTATGTTAGAAATTAAACTCCGACAGAAGTTTACATTTTTTTTTTTTTTTAGTATGTCTAGCATTTATGTAGCTATTAGCCTACACACTTTCATAAGACTTCTATGAGACTCTTCAGAACAAATGAACAGTGAGAATAAAAATGACACAGGAGACTGTTTTGCAAACACATTCTGCCAATTCACTGAAAAGAATGATTAATTCACAAATTGTTCGCATCGCTGGTTCAGTTGTCAGAAATACGGCTGCTGAAATATTTGTATGTAAAACGCACAGTGCGTACAGCTGTACAGCTACAGGCACCCCTGCCAATCACTGTTATATTATTCTAGTTGTATAAACAATGTTTGCATATCAATACTTCTCAGTAGGAGTCATATGCGACACTCAAATACTTGTGCTGATCTCTCAATAGACTCCTCCAATCTGACCGACAGTGCTATAATCATTATCCTTTACTCATAACCTTGCATCGTTTGTGAGCATAAATAATTCTGATGTCATGTCCTTCAGTGAAATATTATGAAAATGGCAGATGATACATTGGAGACAACAGATTGGAATGCCAACTAATAGAGAAGACAAGAAAAAGGACACAACCCATAAATCATACATTTAGAAGTCCGTTATATAGAAGACTGTAGCAGTGCTCCATACTGCCCAATTATAACATCACATCTAGTCTGTTTAAATACATTTTGACAATATCAACCAAATGTAGATTGTTTGTAACGCATTACTGATGTATGTAATCAGATTACTTTTTTCTAGTAACTAGTAAAGTAACATTACTTTTAAATTTACAACGCAATACCCGAGTTATAAATATCTGAGAATGCAAAAGTAACAATGCATTACATTCCATGAAAAGTAACGCAATTAGTTACTTTTTTATGGAGTAACACAATATTGTAATGCATTACTTTTAAAAAAGTAACTTTCCCCAACACTGCAGTTAGTTATTACATATGACCTGTTGATACTTCTGTGTCTAAAGGGCAAAAGGTCAGTTGGACTGAAAGTGACAGAGATTAGCAATAAAGGCAAGTGCTCTTTTAAGAGCGAGTGTGGACATTATGGAATTACACCTGAGGGTTTAGGCAGGATTACACTGAGATTTGCAGGATTATGCCACCAGCGAATCAAAGTGCCACACATAAGAATAACACAAGTCACAAGGCACTTGTATTATTAAGCTTTGTCTCATTCTCAGACGAACCATTTGTTGATTGCCTGATGTATATCAAATACAAAACTCAAAAAACAAAAGCTTCTTTTCAATCTGGAAAGCTGTAATCTGATTGGCTACATTTACATAAGGTGTTTTTTTATGTGTTTGGGATTATTTAACAACCTAAAGCGACTTTTATTATTCTATTCAAGACCGTTTTTAGTGGAGGAGGCACTGCAGATGTTCAGCCCACATAGCTGACAAGACTCTGATCAATGGATTTCATTCAGACTTTAATTAGTGTCATAATGAGAGGCCTCTGGTGATTGATTTCCAATAGAGCATGAGGTGTTGTCTAAAATGAGGGGATCAGTTGAAAGGAGAAGAGAAACGAATAAAAGAGAGGATAGTGTAACAACGGAAAATACGCAGGCCTTTGACCGATCCTACGCGAAACTAATCGCTGCAGTCATACGGTAAACAACCTCGAGAGAGCGGAGGGACGTCCATCATTCACTATGATTAATGCTACTGTTTACCTTCTCTCCACTCCAGACGAACAAAGCATCAGCACAAGGAGATTTCCAGGGTGCCAGTGCGGCATCTCGGCAGGCTCTGTGGCTCTCTATCCTTTCAATCGTGTTCGGCATCATCACTTACATCTGCGCCATCGCTGCCCTGATCTCCTATCTGTCCGGGAAACCACCTTAAAGACTACTGTATCGGTATCTTCTCTCAATTCTTCCAGAAACGCACCTCCCTGGTTCCTAATTACACAAACCGCTGCTCCTTACATTCATCTACACCTGTAATAAGTACACTCATTTGGCAGAGACACCATCTTTGTAACATTTTCTGCAAGTTCACGGCTGTCATATTAGATGAAAACAAAATGCAAAACACTACATTTGGAAAGGGGGTAGTTTCAGCTGAAATCTTAGTATTTGGGTAAAAAAAAAATGACACCCACTTCAGAAAGAGAGACCTGCGCTCTGTCTTGGCGCTTGTGTCTAAGTTGGCAGGGGAGGGAGTGATTGAGGCCTAAGGGTTTGTTAGAAGGGAACTAGACAAGGACTGCGAGATCAGGAGATCACAATGGACTTGGCTGTGAAACAGTGGGACGTGCCCTCCGAGACACATGACTCGAGCGAACTGGGTCATTTTCTATCTGAGCTCTAAAGCTGGTCATTGATTCACTCTCCAAAGTGAAAACACCATAGTAAATGACTTTAGAACTCATTTGGAAATTGTCAGAGAGTAAACATGTACAAGTTCAGGCAGATTCTGCAGATATGAGGATGCTTAGTATGCACAGGCAAAAGTTCCATGCGATGAGGGAAACACACACATATACGCTGCAGCTTTCACTGAGTCATGCCGTTATGAGAAGCTTCTCCTGCAGGACTCTATTCATAGCTTGATAAATATAGACTCTCCATTTTCCATCTACTGTACCAACAAAACCGTATGGAGACACTACATATAATTTAAGTAAACTATGCCTGCAAACTCTGGACTGGAAAAAAAGATGGTGAATCAGGAATCAGACC